TTGTCCAATATTATTTCCACCCTCTATAGATTTCAAGTACCATTCAAAAACCTTTTCGTCATCTTTTTGCACGCCAACGCCATTTTTATAACTATAAACAAGATTACATTGTCCAATATTATTTCCACCCTCTATAGATTTCAAGTACCATTCAAAAACCTTTTCGTCATCTTTTTGCACGCCAACGCCATTTTTATAACTATAAACAAGATTACATTGTCCAATATTATTTCCACCCTCTATAGATTTCAAGTACCATTCAAAAACCTTTTCGTCATCTTTTTGCACGCCAATGCCATTTTGATAACAATAACCAAAAGTACTTTGTCCCAAGCTATTTCCACTCTCTGCAGACTTCAAATACCATTCAAAATCTTTTTGGTTATTTCTTGCTATTCCAAGCCCTAAATAATAGGTGTATCAGAAAAAATAATGTGATAATGCATCATTACTATCTGCATATTTCTCAAAGATTTTTAATGCCAATACATGATTTTGTTTGACAATGCATCCTGTTTGATAAAGAAAGCCTAATAGTAATCTATATCGAACTTCATGAAGAGAGTTTTCAAAAAAATCAGGAGATGCTTGATAATTTTCAGTATAGTATGTCTTTAATTTAGGTCCTATTTTACCGAGTTCATCAGTATTAAGCAACTCATGAAAAAGAATGATTAATTCGTTAATATGCGATTCCATAGTATTCTCACTGAGCACATATTTTGAGTTGTTGTCATTATGAGAAACTGAATCTTCATCGGGAAAATCGGAGTCAATTATAATAGATGGCCATTCGATTTTTTTTAGTTGCTCATTAACTTCGTGAATATCCGGACGATTTCTGGTTCATCATCCCAACATGCTTGATATAATTTTATATATTTACCTGGAGTTCCATGAATCTTATTTTCTTTCTCTATTGAAGTACAAAGGAGATATCCAAGTTTATTGATTGGAGAATGGCCACTAGAGACAACCCAAAGTAATACACCAAGACTAAAAATATCTGAACTTTCATTCCAACAAAAATTTTCGATATCTCTTAGAAACGCAGGGTCGTTATAGCATAATCCGTATTTAGCTCTCGTATGAGAGTCGCCATCAGAGAGTTTTGAATATCCTAAATCTGAAATTTTGTTTTTTCCCTTATGAATAAGAATATTATTATGATTCTATATAGGCATTAGATTTGAATCAACCTGAAAATTTAAAATATTACATATTTCTAAAAACAACTTACTAAATTCCGATGAATAATGCCTTCTTCATGAATACACTGCAGTCCTTTCGCAAGTTGCTTTTCTAAAGATAATTTGCCACTCCCGTTCATGCTTGCAAAATTAGATTTTAAATAATCCTCGAGAGTTCCGCCATCAGCATACTTCAAAACAAGCATATATTTTTGAGAATTGAGTTCTAATGAAATTATTTTTAGACTTTAAAAATATTTTTTAATTATTATTTATTTTTACCTTTGGTAATTCCATAAAATTAATTATATTTTGATGGTGATTAATTCTAATAAGGATTTTTAGCTAAAAAAAAAGTTAAGTATAAAATTCACAATCTTTTTTTTAGAATACTAAATTTTGCGCTTCAATAATTATTTTAAGTACCTCTTTAATGAATTGTTGATAAGTTTCTTCTTCAGCATTTTCATCTTTGATATAAAGACACTTCAGAGTCGCTATCGCTGTTCCGTCATCATTTTTGAACTCAGCTTTAAAAACGACACCAAACGCTCCATATCCGATTGTTTTCATATTGATGAACTCACTAAAATCAAAATAATTTATTTGATTTTCTGAAATTACATTTTCTAACCAAGATGATGCCATTTCCTCGGATGTATTTGATTAAACAAAACAACTATCGCTATCAACACAACATTCATGCATATACGTATGTAATTTCATTATCATGCACAGCGACACCCCAAATGTCAAATTCTCCGAAATGTATCCAATCAAAGGATAAGATTAATCAATTACATGTAATTAGAATTTCGGTCAGGGTTAAGGTTAATATTGTTTGTTAAAAAAAGTATCTGAAGCAAAGTTTTGCAAGGAACGTTTTTTATTAGAACACAAAAGGTAGCTTCATAGACAAAATTTCGAGATAAGGTTATTTTTTAAAATAAGCTTATTTTTGCGTTACACATTTCGGAGAATTTCGAAACTTTTTGGGTGTCTCTGTACGAGTTGGTCACAAACCAACATTTCTCCACGTCTACATTATTGACAACTTATTGTTATTAGTGATTTTAGTTTTAAGATTCTAGCCCGTTTTTTAACACAATTTAATAATGAAGATTATCATTTTGTTACAAAATTTAAGTATTTATTTTCATTTTGAACTTTAACACACGCCACCTATTTTTTGGCGATTTGTGCTAACAATAGGAATTGCAGTTTTGTATAGTTTACCTATTCAATTTTATTTTTGGCTTTCTAACATTGATTTTTTGATTTCTTAATTCAAATAGTAATTCTTTGATCATTCATCTAGGAGCATTTTAGTAACTTTATTGTAGAATTACCTGAAACACATTTTCCCCGACACAACATTCCCCCCGAAGTCTTATTCCCCGAAAACCCATTTCCCATATCCTGACATGACATATCCCGATAGGAAATTCCCCGATATGACATCTCCGAATAATACTAATTTGGTGTACTAAGCAAATGTTGGGGAAGAAAGTTTACATATAATCCTCACCATAATTCTAACCCTAATTTGTTAATTACATGCAAAGTCAACCAGTCAATAATTATCCTTTCATGTTGGGAAACATTTTTGGGGGAAACTTCTTGTCAGGGAAATCTCTATTCGGAGAAATTTCATGTTGTGTAAATCTCCATTTGTGGAAGCGTCATGTCGGGTAAATGTGTATCGGGAAATCAGGTGTCTACCGATAAATGTAGCCTTCTATTAATCCTGCTCTGGTCTAGTTCATTCAAATAAAATTAGAATTTCCAGTAAGTGTATTTTGGTTTTCTTTCTTTGTCTGAAACAATCAAACTTAGATCACATTTATCATGTTAAAGTTGGATCCATTTGTGCAATATTCTTCTGCTAAAATTATCTTATGTCACCAATTCATTTCTAGTAACTCAATTACATTTGCAGTGAGAACACTTAAAGAACAAATGTGTTATAAAATATTGCAAATTGCATATTAGTGATAACAGAAATCAGGCATGAGTGTAAAAAATGTTCTCGATGAGAATACCAAGTTTAAATGAGATTTCTAACACTGCAATGATAACTAAACATTCTAGTGCAAAAGGAGAAAGAAATTACATGCAAGTGCAAAAGATCAGTTTTGTTTATTGTAAGTTATAATTGCTTTGATTTTGTTGATTCATAATACTTTTAGTGGGTTGGCAGATTCTTTCTTTATGTTCTTTTTATATAATTGGTCGTTTATTAATGTAAAATGTTTCGATTATTGTATTAGGCACTGTCATTGTCATTTGTCAAATCCTACGGAATTCTGTTCATCCATCAAACAAGTTTTCAAGTTATTATATTGTTATAATTCTATTTATCATTTTGTAGGTTCATTATTGCTGATTAAGCCGGGACAGGATATCCATATTCTAGTTCATTTTCCCTGCACAGAAGGTCACAATAAAGATATACTCTATCATGTCCATAATTCATCACGAAACATGGTATCCAGGATTGCTTTGCTTATGAAATAATCATCCGAGGGCATTGTGACCAGTCACGATCTCGAACAACATTTCCAGCAGATAATCTCGATATTGTCAAATGATGCATATTACGGTGAGAGTTTCCTTCTCAATGATATTATAATTTTTCTCAGCAGTTTTAAATAAAATGCTCACATAAGCAATCACTCTTTCTTTGTCTTGATTGTCCTTTTGAACCAGTACCATGACTAAGCCTGTGTCGATGCATCAGTCAGTGTACAAATAAAACTTTTTGGTGAAGTCCGGATAGATTAAAATCAGAGCTGTGGTGAGTCATTTCTTTAACTCATTCTTGGTCCATTGTCCAAATGTAGATGACATTATTTTTTAATAGTTTGAAGAGGAACACAGCAACTTGGAAAAATCCTTGAATAAATTTCTGATAGTAACCAGCCAGTTCTAGGAATAACTGAAGCTGTTTAATTATGCATGATTGCAAAAAATCTCAAATCTTTTGATACTAGTAGAATTTGGTGATATTCTATCCTGATTTACGACGTGTTTCAAGAAGGGTAATTTATTTCTAACAAAGTAGCACTTGTCACGATTAAGTTTTAATCCAGCTGCAGAAAAATTTTCAAATATCAATCGCAAGTGTTTTATATGTTCATCGAAAGATCGTGAATATACATTGATATTGTCTATGTATACCATAGCAAATTTACATCGATAGTTTCCAAGTAGAGTGCCCATGGCCTGTTGAAAGATTGTGGGGCATTATGTAATCCAAACGGCATCACATTAAACTCAAAGAGCCCTCCTGAGTTATAAACATTATTTTTGATTTTCTTATTTCAGCCATTTGTATTTGCAAGATAAATCTATCGATAAAAACCAATTTCATCTCTCCAAGGTTATTGAGTATTTTATTGATCCGTGGTAACGAATATACATCCTTTTTCATTACTTCATTTAATTTCTGATAATCCATACAGAAACGCTTTTTCCCGTTCTTTTTCAACGCGATAATTACCAGGGATGATCATGTGCTGCTCGATGGTCTAATTATCAATGCCTTCAACATTTTTCTTATTTCTTCCTGAATAAATTCTTGGTCGGACTAAAGATGGCGCGGCAACTGTTGCAACATGGTGACAAATAAAGCATCACCTAGTTGCAACTAGTTGCGGCTTATAAAATTTTGGAGTTGCAACGTGTTGCAACGGGTGACAAATAAGCATCACATACTTGCTGCACCATCTTTAGGTCGGACAATGTTGTCGTATATATTCTTTGATGGCTCGGTGTGATCTTGATTGTTTTGATATTGTGATAAGTGATCCTTGTCGTTTCTAGTTGTTTGTTTAAGTTTATCTTCAAAGATGTTATATTCCTCGAGCAATGATTTTAATTGTTGCGTTAGGGCTCGCTGAGATATTAATGCTTCCGCTGTCTCTTCATCAGTAGATCTGAATCCTCGGATTCCTCTACTGGTTTTTCCTAGTTCTCCCTCAATGTCTGCCAGTTGGTGAAACATTACCTGGATGATTCAATCGTTCAGCTTAATCAAGTAACTTTGATCACCTGCATTCCTCACAATTACATGACGTTTTCCACATATCTTGCATTGATGTTTCCACCTTTGATTTCAATTCCTCTTCTTGCAAGCAAAAATCTTATCATTAATTAAAAATATTTAGGCTCAAGTGTCAGTTTATATGTTCCAAACGAAGGTAAAATCATTATTCAATATTATTTTTTTATTGAATTTATTTATTATTAATATTCTTTGGCGTTGCAAACCAGATTTAGATTTTAGTATGCCACATGAAATCAGAATGAAGAGATATCGAGTGACTTCCAAACGAAGGCAAATTGTTTGTTTTATTTTTTCATTGACTTATTAATTCATTACTGTTTTTTAATTTGGATTGCAAAACAAATTTAGATGACATTAACGAGAGTGAAGAACGACTTGATTGATGATCCGCGAATAATGGGTATTAAATTTGACGGAGCTCCATTAAGCAAACTACTAATGACAATCATGTGAATGTAACGACAAATTCCTTTCACTTAATAAAAATGACTAATTCATCAGATGATTATTATTTGAATATTCGTTTGAATATTTGTTTACATTAATTATTATTAATTTCAGAAATTATTTAAAAGTTTCAATTATGTAATCACAATTATTTGAATATTCGTTTGAATATTTGTTTACATTAATTATTATTAATTTCAGAAATTATTTTAAAATTTTCAATTATGTAATGACAATTATAAGTTTAACTTGGGGAACAATGCCATTCCAAAATTGTTATAATTTCTTAATTATCCTTTCAGAATTATTACATGTATAAATTCAGAAATTAAATATCATTCATTTGCGAATCAATTAACGATGAACACGCCTACTATTATGCTCTTTATTAGATGAAGCTGGTAAATATTTTATCAATTGGATAACAATAATAAATTTTTAATTTTTTAGCACTAGTGTTAGAGATGATCCTGAAAGTAATGATTGAATCGATATCGATATAAACTGTGCTGTGCTTTTTAAAGCACACCAACCAAAAGCGAATTCTATTATTACTATAACCATTGCTTTTATCAAAATTTAGAAGTTATTCTTTCTGAATTTATCTCTTTATGAAAAAAATTTAGCATAACAATGGTAATGTTATTTTGTTTCTTACTTGATTCTAGCAATTATATACTTTAAATTAATTTTCATTTTTTGAGAAATTGTTTGCTATGTTTATTCTATGTATTCTTTGGTTATTGCCTGCTAACGCAAAGGAAAAATTATTATCATAATTCTATAAACACATACAAATGGAGGCTAATAATAAAATGTCTATTGGAATGATCTAAATCGATTGCTTAACAAACAAGAATTGCATAGCGATAGGGATCACGAATTAACCATTGTTGTCGCCACCGCCTAAATTACTGACTTTTTTTTGGCAGGTCAGCTGAGACTAATTTTATTGGTAAATCGGGAACAACCCCTGTTGTTAATCTAATGATACGAAAACTATCTTCATAATGACGAAAGGTTTCGCCACATCATTCTTCGGTGAAAAAACCTTCTGACCAATCAAACAATAGCTTAGATCACATGTACAAGTCCTGCATTCATTATTAAAAAAACGTTACGTCATTAAAAATCTAGTACATGTATTTGATTGGCCGAAGGACAAACCGTAAGGCCCCAAACTATTTATAATTTCTTTTCCCTCTACAACCTCTCCTCCAAATCGTCATATTGAATGATATCTGTAGATATCAGCACAGGCATTAGATACTAACAAGTACTATTAAATCCATACGCTCTCTACCAAACCCTGTTACAGATAAAAACTACGATTTCACCTAATTAACCGATATCCGCGACACTATCAATCACTGTTTTGGAAGAAACAAACTGTACTCTAAAATTTAAATGGTATTTTTAGTTAGCCCTCGTTTTTCTTTTCGGATGCATTTATGTGTGTTCATTAAGATGACTTTCTGAACGACGAGGTCAGTGTATTCAAGGTTCCTATACAATCTTTCAAATCTTACTATTTTCTCATTTCTCGTTCGATAAATAACAACAATATATAATCAAGAGTCATTGGTTGTACTATTTCAAAAAATCATTAGGTTTCGAAAAAATTACTTAGTACCAAATTAATTATATTTGATTTAATTAGTCCATGACGGACTCCAATAGATTAAGTACAATTTTTATAGGCATCATGCAGCGAACAATTCCTTAATTATTAATGTAAAGAAAGATAAATAAGTATACAGTATGCAAAAGTTAAGCCACTATTACGAATTGAATTTATAAGATGGAAATAGCACAATATAGCTGAAACCCGATTTATATAATGTCAAAAATTCAAGTATACTTGCCATGTGCATTTTAGAATCTTAAAAGAAAAACTATCAGATACTTTACAGAAATAAGGTATTTGAATAAATTTCTTAATAGTTTCCTTGTAGGGTTTAATAATTCATTAAATTGGAAGAAAATTCAATAAAACCACTAGGAAATCCGGGATTCTTTCTCCCTAGGGGTTTCACTAAAAACATCACTAATGTAACGTCCTTTTGACCTGACGTCATGTTGATTACGATAACAAATCGCTATTCTTTATCTGTTCATAATAAATCATCCAAAATGGGTTTCTGGAAAAAAATTTTATATTTTTCTGTATAGAGACGTTAATATGACTCAGAGTCCTAGAAAATCCGAAAAAGTAATTTAAATAGTGCTAGATAATGATTAAGAGTTGAAAAGTTAAAAAAGTAATGCGTGTATTATAGAGCATTGTCTACAGTACTCGGGTATATGCTAATTCAATTACTCCTGTTTGGTCTACATTTAACTAAATAAATGTAAAATTATCAATTCGAAATCTCAGTAAAAGTCATTTCGCCAAATTACTCAAGTATGTCTGAGGTTTCCCAAATATTGTAGAAATATTATCTGTTATAACTTAATAGTAGATTTTTAATAATAAAGTTTTTGCAATACGTATTCACCAAAGATATAACGTATTAAACTGTCAATATGACGAAGTAGTAAAAAATATAAAGATGCAACAATGACGTAACGTAATAATAAATATAATAATGTATATAATAAACGTCATAAATAGTAATGTGTCAAATAATACTAATATATTAAAGAAGATGGCTAGTTTAAAGATTATAAAACAGGTTTTAACAGCGCTAAAAAAGGTAATAAGATATGAAATATATTTTTTGGATCAAACCAAAATGTTAATAGTAAGAATATATATTTTCTAAATCAAATATCTTAACCACCGCATCTGCTCGTCCATAACTATTCTCGTGGGCCTTTTTATGCAATTTTAATGCGATATGAAGATCTTTTGAAACTCCAAAGCCATAATGATAACATTGTGCTAGTATTATATACAATTGAGCTGCTTGTCTCTTATTTCTTTCTGAGTCTGCCACTTTCTGGAAACACAAGAATGCTTTTTTCTCATCTTTTTGAGTTCCTATACTCTTTCGATAACAAAAACCGAGATTATATTGTCCTCTATGATCACCACTCTCTGCTGATTTTAAATACCATTCGAATGCTTTTTTCTCGTCTATTTGAGTTCCTATACCATTCTGATAACAACAACCGAGATTACGTTGTCCTCTAGGATCACCACCCTCTGCAGATTTCAAATACCACACAAATGCTTTTTTCTCATCTTTTTGTGTTCCTATACTCTTTCGATAACAACAACCGAGATTACGTTGTCCTCTAACATTACCACCCTCCGCTGATTTTAAATACCACTCAAATGCTTTTTTCTCATCTTTTTGTGTTCCTATACTCTTTCGATAACAATAACCGAGATTACGTTGTCCATTAGCGTATCCACCCTCTGCTGATTTCAAATACCACTCAAATGCTTTTTTCTCATCTTTTTGTGTTCCTATACCATTTCGATAACAACTACCGAGATTACGTTGTCCTTTAGCGTATCCACTCTCTGCTGATTTTAAATACCATTCGTATGCTTTTTTCTCATCTTTTTGAGTTCCTATACCATTTCGATAACAATTACCGAGATTAAATTGTCCTTCAGCATCTCCACCCTCTGCTGATTTCAAATACCAATCAAATGCTTTTTTCTCATCTTTTTGAGTTCCTATACTCTTTCGATAACAATTACCGAGATTACATTGTCCTCTAAGATCTCCACCCTCCGCTGATTTTAAATACCATTCGAATGCTTTTTTCTCGTCTATTTGAGTTCCTACACTATTTTGATAACAATAACTGAGGTTACATTGTCCTCTAGAATCTCCACCGTCTACAGATTTCAAATACCACTCGAATGCTTTTTTCTCGTCTTTTTGAGCTCCTATACCATTTTGATAACAGAAACCGAGAATACATTGTATTCGAGCATCTCCATTTTCAGCTAACGTCAAATGCCAATCAAATATTTCACTATCTTTTTTTATTTGATTTTTTTCAAATTGTTGATAATGCACTAAAAGTGTTTTCGAAAGACTTTCCTTATTGATATATAACTCTTCGTAAATTAAATAAATAAGCTTAGGTTCATTGATGAATGCTATTTCATATTGACAACAAAAATCAACAAATAATTCATCTTTATACATATATAACAATGACGCTTTTCTGCTAACCAATTCATTTTGTTCTATGTTTTGGATTTTGGATTTTATTCTTATGGCTATCTCTTTTAATTCTTCATTTTCGGAAGAAAACATTCGTCGAAAGATAGTTGATAATCCCTCGTGGAGTTTTTGATCGTCAAATTCATCATTGCCTTTGACTTTATTTGCAGAAACCAAGGGTGTTGTCTCCGTTTTTTCAGTGAAAGATTGCATATTGCACTTTGATATACTGTATTTCTTGTGTTATTTGAAAAAATTTAATATCAATACATAAACGTCTCAATTTGCATGTACTGTACGTACGCACTTTACATGTACATGAATATCGATAATGATATTGTGCAACATCATTTATCGTTA